GTCCTCCATACTGCTAGTCTTCAACAATGATCTGTCTATACACTGACTTTCATCATGTATTGATGCAACTTTTCTGGCAACTGCTTTATACTCAGGTATCTTTCGGCTGCACCCACACTAACCTATGACATCTGACCGGTTAGTTGCTTTCTTAGCTCCCACCACAACCATCAGAAACAAAGACAAAATGACTCCTTACTAAAAATTAGCATGTCAGATGAAGATGCAGGTGGTAGATTTGGCACAGAGACCTTGCATCCTAGCACCGGCCTTTCCCCAGGGCTTCCATTTCCGCTTTCTCTGGTCACTCTTTGAACCGCCTCTGCATATGTTACTTTGTTCTGATCCTTCACAACCTGCACCCGCCTAGCCTGGACAAAGTGCTCACAACCATAAAACCCTGCTGCATGATCCCCATCACAGTTAGGGCACTTAGGAGTCTCTGCCTTACAATTTTGTATGATATGATCTCCACCACACTTTGCACACAACACCAACTGATCTCCTCTCCTGTGTCGGCTTTGTGTATCTCCAAACCTTTTTCAAACGTATCAGCCAGTATTCCCCTGTCTGTGTTTGTCTGGGCGTGGCTACACTCTCTGGCTCCAGCGGCGCACCTGGTCCTCATTCCACTAATCAAGCTCCTGCAGTATTTCAACCCCAGTCCTCCTACATTCTTCGCCAGATCGTCAGTTAACCACATGTGGTACATGCGTCAAGGCCAACTATCGTCTCCAGTAAGAGTCCTTGTAATTTCTGTCTCTCCCTGGATTAACCTGTTTTTCTCTGTGCCCAGGATCACACTACCTCCGGGAACCCTGCTGAACGCCACCCCGCTCTGCTCACATCTTGCCTGGACTAACTCCCCTCCTCCGTGTTCTCCATTCTGCCCTGTTGGAACCTATCAATAAAACCCCTTTGTTACCCCTTCAAACTGTTCCGAGTCTGCCTTTGAGTCCTCAAGTTTTGCATTATGACAGGAACACGTTCCTCAGTGAGGAAGATGAGAACATGTCCTGAAACTGTCCCCTGTTCACTTACCTGTCAGTCCAGTCTGATGAGCAGCATGAAGCAGCCCTTACCTCAACACACGGTTAAAGACGTAGAGAGCTACAACCAGCATCAACCATCCAGTATGCTAAAAGGAAAACCCACTGTTCAGAGTGTGAAAGCTGTTAGATGACAGCCTCAAAGTGCTGCAGAGTTTGTTCATCTGTCAGTTACCAGATGGTGTCTGTGGTCCCCTGCAGCAGCTTCTTGTTTTACTGTCGGCTTCTCAAACTTCTGACAGATGAAAGCAAGTAGAGTTAATCATCATAACTGTGTTCACTGTACAGCTGATCAAGTCATTACTTTAAGCTTTTAGCAGTTTATCTTCCAGAAATGCAGTTTGTAGTTTTCAAAGTGTCCCCTGCAGAAAGCCAAGGTATTTAAAGAAGCAGTCTGACAGTTTGGGAAATCTGCTTGTTCTTGTTGGATCTCAGCTAATAATGAGCTAAAGGTTAAAAAGGGGAAACATACAGTAGACTTTACTAACTTCTACTGAAACATGTTGGTCTGATCTGTTGTGACTGTCCCTGTCACACTTTATCATTTCTGCCCCAAATTCTTATCTAAAAAAGTCTGAAAACTTCAGAAAGTGCAGGATGCCTCCTGGTAACAGTGAGTTGCTCAAAGACAAACATTCACAGTTTGGTCTACAAACTGATTTTTATTGGATTTCCAGAAAATGTACAATTTCATAGAAACTGACATAAACTGTGGTTTAAGATTTTATCCAGATTGCCAAGCACACAACAGGTGCTGCAAAACAGCTGCTCTGAATCCCATCCTAAACAGCAGCATGCCTACCACTAAAACAGCAGAAATTACACTTAAAAAGTACAAAGTGCTAAAGACGTGTTGAGATGCTCTCCCTGTGTAAAACATCCAAACAACAGTCCAAATAAAGATTTAGGAAGAAGACAGCGAGGCGGCTAGAATGAGCTCAGTTCATCTAAAATATCTGCTTTGCTTCTGGGATTAAAGGAGAATAATGACAGACATCAACTTCCAGCTCCAAACTAATAAAACACATTTTATTTCCATGTGTTGAAGCCATCACAGTGAACCAGAGCAAGTTGACCAAAACATTTCCCAGCAGCCACTTCTCCCACAGCAGAGTCCAAACAGTGCTTCCTGCTCTCTACAGTTAGGTGTCTTATTGGAAATGGTCTCAGTAGATGACAGGATCTGTCTCGTCTCTATCCTTTCTATTGGCCTCCATTTCTCCTCCTGTTTCCTCCCCTTCTCTCTCCCCTTTCTCTGCATACATGAAGCTGACTGTGGAAATGTTGTCATCATTCATACTGATGGACTGCTGATCATTGCTGTCCATTCTGCAGCAACACACAGAGGCCAAAAGCTTGTCTATGAACCCTTTCCTCATGAACACATACAGGAACAAGTCTGCAAGAGGATTCAACCTGATGAAGATGAGATACAGGAGTTCTAGGGTCCTGTGATATCCTCCCAATAACAAAATGATCGTGGGCAGGAACAGCAGAGTGTAAATAAGCAGCACCAGAACCAAAATTCCCACAATTCGTCGTTTTTCATCAGAGGGGACCGAGATGGAAGCAGACAGGGCTTTGAGGGTCCCAACCAGGGAGAATATTAACAGAGGGAAGGGAAGGAGGAGGAGGACGAGGAGGACAGTGAAGAGTGTGTGTAGATTCACACCATAAAGCCAACAAATGAACAAAAAGAGAAGTGGCAGGACCCAGACCAGGACACTGACCACCACAGAGGTCTTGATGGTTCGTCTGAAGCGGTACCACAGTGGGTGGGCGATGACCAAATACCTGTAATACAAGATGGACACAAAGTCTTTGAGGAGCTTCAGAGTTATAAACTAACATAATGTTCAGACACAGAAGGAGCTCCACACATACTGGATAGACAGATAGATACCTTTCCAGGGAGATGCAGACCATGAAGCAAATACTGGCAAACAGAGCAGAGAAGTGAATATATAAGAAGATGTCAGATATCTGTCCACGAATATTTGGTGCCACCCAAACGATCATGCAGCAGAACTGAAGGATGTCAGAAATGAGAAGGTTGATGAGGTAGATGGGAGCAACTTGATCTCTTCTCACCTGCAGGAAAACATTGGTAAAAGTCAACAAGCCGTTGGAAACATGTTGTGAAGTCCACCTCCTCCCAAATCTGTCATCTTGCTCTGCCCAGCAGCTGCACTCAGAGCCATTTCTGACTTTTTCATCCAACAGGAATCTCAGATATGACCCACTGGCCAATCACTGCAGTAACAAGACTAAGGGCCAGATTTCCTGCAGCTTCTGCAGCAGTTTTTCAGCCACAGATATGAAGCATTCTGGCTCAAACACATGAGCTGGATTTATCCAGACCGGAGTCGCAGTTTGAGGCTCATGTTTGTGTTTGCAAGGTGAGCCTCTCTCCTACTTGAATCAGCATTTCAGGGAGGATGGCACAAATAAGAACTGGAGGCAAAGAACTTGCCTCCAAGTTATGTCTGCGTAACGCACGTGTCAGGTCTCTCCGCCGTGGCTGCCTGAAGCTTCACTTTCCCTGTCCTCGTGACTGTAACTTCCACTAACCACAAGAAAACAAAAAGGGGAAAAGAGCACGAGTGTTACTTTGTGGCTGTAACAACGCTGTTGACACAATGTCCAGATAACCTGCAAGCCCTGCTGGAGCAGGAGAACCCTACAACGATCAGTATTTAATGTTTAATTAGACTATAATCAAAACTCATGTTAGGTCTAATTTTTGGGACAAACAGGAAAGGGGTCGGGACAACTGCTCGTAATTCGGGACTGTCCCGGATTTTTCAGGACATCTGATCACTCTATTTAAGAGCTGTGAGAATCGCTGGGGTGTGTGTCGCATTGAACATTATGCCGCGGCAGTTGTGTGTGGCGTCGCTATGACGACCTGCTACGTACTATCTCTGGGTACTACCTGCAATGGAAAACGGAGCAGGGCCGAGTAGAGTCATGTCTATCGATTTGAATATGGTAGCATTTTTCGGCAGGGCAGCATAGATCGAAACACCGGCAACAGTTCAATGTTTAGTCCTGATGGTAAGATGTGGAACAATGATGTTGTGTGGTTGTGGATGTAAGGCAGCTGCCTGTGTAAGCCCCTCGGTTTCCTGTTGCGCTGTCTATTCCCCAGTATGTCCAGCAGTTCGTGCAGTTTGTACCTTGCAGGACCGTAGTTTTAAAGTACGTTAAAGCGGGGCCGCACCAGTCATCCACTTAAATTGTGCGTTGATACTGTTTGTTTACATTCTAAACTATATTTATGCCATTTGTGAGACTTGGTAAATGCTGCTAGTCTAAAGTTAACTCGGCATGTGTTTCTTGCTGTTGGTGTCTCTTGGTTAACCTGACTAGTGTGCTGTAAGCCATTAGGTGATTTAATCTCAGTAAAATAAATGTACGATGGGGCATTTGCTGTTTTCGGTACCTTGCATTTAGAGTTTGTTTTTATATTAAGCTCTTTTTAGAGATGTATTCCATTTGACTGTACATTAACCTTCATTTAATTTATTTTTATTTTTGGTACTAAATATTATTTAAGTAAGAGATTGATTTATTTTTGCAACAATATAAATGCCTTATGTTTACTTTTCGTGCCCTGTTAGGTATTGGCTGTGTATCAGAGAGGATTGTTGGAGCAATAAAGAGCAGTGAAGGTCTCAACCACAATCCCGAATCCAGCCTCTGGTGCCTCCTTCCATCCATACGACACCACACAACACCTACCAAAACACAATGCAGAGCCAAGGGGAGGCGTAGAGAGGCTGTGACAGTCTGCACTGACTCAGATCCTGTGGGTTACATGGACTTGTGAGTAACTTCTACCATCTGCTAGCTTACGGTCTCAGTCTGAAGCGCCTTTGATTTGGATCACACTACCTTGTTTCTTACGACCCGCCTTCTCTGCTTGTGATTGGCTAGTAGTCCTTACCTAGGAACTGCGCATGTGCAACTACCAACAAAGATTTTCTACAAGTAAGATGCATCACTCTGTAGCTCAAGAGCAGAGCGTACAGCACACAGGGTGAAAAGAGGAGAAAATATGGTGGTTTTTGAAAATTAAACCATGTAAACCTGTTCTGGTACAACCCCTAAATAAGATTTTGAACCTGAAAATGAGCAGAATACCACCTCTTTAACCTCAACAGTTTAAGAGAGGGCTGGAATGGAGCCACACATGGAAACTGCATGTGTTTAGGGTCCAATCAGCTTCATGGACATTTGAATTCTGGAGTCAATTATTCCTGTCAGGTTATAGATCATTCCAAGCCTTTGTCCCAGCCCCCTGACACCTAGCCCCCAAACCAGATCCAGATCCTTTACAGACAGACAGACTGTAGGACAGACACACCACACAGACAGGAAATAAATAACTCTCAGTCAGAATGTACATACCATAGAATAAAGAGCATAGATGGCCACCAGGGTCAGAGGAAGGCCGACAGCAACGATTATGCATGTCACCACACGTACAGGGTCAATGTGGTATTTGGAGGTGGTGCTGCTGTAACCGTAGCTTTGGTCCTGTGAGCTGCTGGTAATGTAGTAATCTTCCATTCTTCAGAGTGAAACGTGTTGTTTGAGAGATCAGGTTATTAAAGAGCAGGTTTTTAATTATTATTAATTATTAATCATTATTCTTTCTTTACCTAATTTTATTTAAATTCAATTTTATTTATATAGCGCCAAATCACATCAACAGTTATCTCAGAGCGCTTTTCATAAAAGAGCAGGTCTAGACTGTACTCTATGATGATATTTACAGAAGCCCAACAGTTCCCACCGAATGAATTTAAAATACTAGTAATAGTATTTTAGAGAGTAAAAAGCCCAAAGGAAATCAACCCTAACTGGTTTAACCTCAGTATTCTGTCCACCTACAGTCCAAAGCTGTCTGCTTGTTCATTTATCTGTTTAATTCGTTCTACATAAAAGAAAAAAGGAATCTGACTAAATGTACCCGGAAAATCTGCCAGACCACCTGAATGAGTTCCTCCTCCAGAGTCCGATGTTTTGTCCTCTGCAGCCAAACCTCAAACATGGCCAGTGACAACATGCAGCAGGGTGACGATGATATATTGCTGCTCTTCTGAGACAAGGGAGTGTCTTATCCATACATTCTCTCATGAGAGGCTCCTTCCTTTGGCATCTGTAACTGCCAAATCTGGGCAAGTTGGGTCAAGTCAACATACTAGGTGTGTTTCATAATATCTCACATCAACACAGAACGAACCACATTTTAAACATCCAACATTGATCAATACCCAAGATATCTCCAAACACAGGACATCAAAATGTGCGATTCAAAGTAGGAGTAGAATATGTGATACATCTAATTAATGATACAAGTATAACTTCTTTGAATGTAGCTTAAGGACTCACATGTACAGGCTTGCCTGCCAAAGCAACAGGCTGATAATAATCTCTATCTGCTCTGAGATGTGATTGGGCCAGCCCAGTGTCAGTATAGAAAATTACCAAATGGGCCGTGTCCATGCTTTTACGACAAAGAGAAAAATACACTGCTACAGACTACCAAGGGTAGTCTGATGGTGTAGAGATTTAAAAAGAGGACAAGGGAGAGGATGAGCTTTCTGCGGAAGAGGACACACAGAAAACTGATGAAAAGGAAGCAGTAGAGATCTACATTCACACACGAGATGTATTTAAGCGCATGCCTGAACACAATCAGCGTGGCAGAGAAAGAGATTCCTTTTAAACTCAGGTTCAACAGAATGAGTCATCGTACTCTAACACTAAGCAGAATATTGGTGCTTTAAACTCGTCTTCAGGACTTTAGGTGTTGTTTTAGATTCAGTGATTTTCTTTGAGTTTCACTCTAAACGATTAGTTAGTTAACTTGGAATATATCCTGGTGTCAGAGGCCGAACTGGAGACGATCATTCATGCCTTTAGATTACTGTAACAGACATTTAACTTGTTTGAATAATGTGACAGCAATTCTTGTTTTCAACACCTGAGGCAAGCATACCAAAAAAAAAAAATCTGTAAATCCGTGTGTGGCTCGCTCTTCATTATTCAGTTTTGTAATGGAAATTTCATGATAACCATCTATAAAACGCTGCCATGTAACTAATCTCACTAGGGGCCTCCAGCCTCTTGGGTATGGGGTCAATGGAAGGTAAATGTGTGTGATACTTTAACATATGTCCAGAGGGGTCAGGACTTTAAGGGGTTCACCACATGTACCTTGGACACGGGTGACTTTCTATAGATCCAGATTGAGAGTCCCCAAGGGAACACTGAAAGACACCATGTTCCTCTATTATAGCACTCTGACCCTGAGACAAAGATAAAAGCTGCATGAGCGGTTACACTGCAGCTCACTCGGATGATACTCTCTGATGTGTATGTGTCCCCGTGAGTTCCTTCTGCAGAAGACTTGAATAAAATTCACAGAAAGAAAAGTGTTTGCCTGAGCTGTTTATTCAAACACACTTTTCCCACCACAATTTTGGCGTTGTCGGCTCGTCACACGCGTGAGACGACTTGGACACTCGGAGCTGCAGGTGAAAAACCGTACGGCCGGAGTCTGAGAATCTGGGACTTCAAACCTCCCCTCCAAAATACAGGTGAGACGTTGAGGGCCTGACGCCTGAGTTTCTGAGGCTCCCTCACCGCTGTGATCCAAAAAGAACCTGGTGGCTGGCAACACTCTCTTTTTGGTGAGTAGACTGTTCAAGTGGAACGAGATTTAGAGATTTAGGACCCTGGGTGAGAACGTGCTGTGAGGCCGGTGGGTGGGGAAAGACATCAGATCAAAATGTTGACTTTCAAAGTCTACAGGTACATTGTAAAATATTTTCTTTGTAGTGAATGAGGTAAGAACTGTTCCAGAAACAGATTTTCTGATATCAAATTTGATAACCATGAGAAAGCCCTCTAAGAGATTTAAAAAAAAGTCATGACAAACAAATCTTTGTGAAAGATGTCTCTAGATATAACACCTTCCTGATGATGACCATGAAGCTAGCAGATCCAACCTGCAGTCTGTTTCTGAATAATATTGTTGATTGTTGTGATCACTGCAAAAGGGAAAAAGAAGAGCCCTCTCACCCCAAAGCACATTGAAGCATTTTAGACCATCCTAAAATGAGAGGCAAAGAAACAGGTAAATTAACTTTTTATGGATGACAGTGTTCACATTAAGGCACCATCGGCAGAAACCGCACATGGGGAAGGCCTGAGATTTTTTGTTGATTTAAAACTGGCTCTTCAGTCTCCACCGACCCTGGGTCTCCCCGACTGTAACAAACCTTTCACACAGACTGTTGACAAAAAGGGAGGGTACATGACCTCAGTACTACTACAAGACCATGGGGGACGATTGAGACCTGTAGCTTATTTTTCATCCAAACTGGACTTTGTTGCAGCAGGACTGCCAAACTGCCTGAGAGCTGTGGCAGCTGCTGGAAAAGCAGCCATAGCATCACCTGACATTGTGGGTTATTCAGAGTGGACACAAAATCAATAAACAATTTCACATGTTTTTGAAGTGTTCAAAAGCAAGTTATTTTCCTTGCTCCATTGAACAACATTCTCCACCTCCTGGCGATAATGAGATTCATCGTTTGAACTAATCAGCCCAATGATAGTTGTGTCATCGGCATATTTGATCATCACATTATTAGCATTGGATACTTCAAGGTCATGAGTATACAATGTGAACAATAGGGGACTCAAGATACACCCCTGCGGTGAACCAATGCTAACATAACTCATCTGAAATACAACCATTAACTTTGACCCTTTGGTCGACAAGTGAGAAAATTAAAAATCCATTTACAAATGGCATCATCGAGTCCAAGATATTTCAATTTATGAGAGAGCTTTGTTGGGACCATTGAATTAAAAGCCGAACTGTAGTCTAGAAATAGCATTCTAGCATATGAAAAGGAAATAGCATCTTCAACACTTCTTTTTTTCCCATATGCAAATTGTAGTGGGTCCACAGACACAGGGATTTGATCTTTAATAAAGTCCAACACCAACCTTTGGCACTGGAATTATGATTGATCTTTTAAAGCTAACTGGAACAGTGCACCTCGCAAGTGACAAGTTGAAAAGATCAGTCAGAACAGGACTAAGTTGCTCAGAGCACAGTTTAAGGACACGAGGAGGAACACAGTCCGGTCCAGGTGCCTTCTTGACCTTCATCCTGGACAAAATCCTCTGAACGTCCTCCTGAATGATGGTAAAACTCTGCTCATTACAGGCAGGAAAAACAACAGGTTCAACATTTCCAATTTCAAAACGACAATAAAACTTCAGTTTAATTTGTTTGGCAAGGATAGGTCATTAGTAATGAGTCCTCCTTTAGGTTTCCAAGCGATGATAGAATTTAATCCTTGCCACATACATCGTGGGTCCGCCTCCATGAAATGTCCTTCTATCTTAGCTCCATAGGCTCGTTTAGCAGCTTTAATTGCTCGCTCCAAAGAATATCTGGACAACTTGTAAGCAGCAGCGTTACCTGATTTAAAAGCCACGGCCCGCTGTTGCATTTTCCTATTCACATCACCATTGTAGCACGGGTTCTGACTAGCATACCGTTTTCTGACCTTTTTTGGAACACAACAATCAATACAAAAGTCAATGTACCCAGTCACTGCATCACAATACTCATCCAGATTATCTGAATGGAACACAGACCAGTCAGTAGCATCAAAGCATCCTTGTAGTTTCTCTTCACTCTCCTTCGTCCAGCACAGAACAATCCATGACGAGGGTTTTGACTGTTTATTTCTCTGTATATATGTAGGAAGAAGTAACACAGAGGAGTGATCTGATTTTCCAAAAACTGGTCTGAGACTAGATTGATAAGCAGATTTTGCATTGCTGTAACAGTGATCCAGGACATGTGCTCTCCTAGTTGGATGTTTAACATGCTGATAGTAGTTGGGAGAAACAGTTTTAAAATTACTCTTATTAAAGTCACCAGTTACTATAACCACAGCATTGATATGTGAGTTCTCAAATTTGTGTACAATGTCACTTAATTCCCTCAAGGCAACAGAAATGTCTGCCCGTGGATGTATATAAACACCACACAGGAATATAACCAAAAACTCCCGTGGCTAAATGGACATTTTACTCTGCCCGGTAAAACAAATAAACATATTAATCAGCAACACAACAAATTCTGGAGATTCTTAAACAATACAGTAAGGTAACACAAAGAGAAAGGAACAGCGCGTCAGCCAGGTGTCACGGTTTGGTGTGGGTGAGGCCGGTTGGAGGACCCAAACGCAGGACGCAAGGCAGGAAGAGGTACAGTACAAAGGGTTTTAATAAACAAACAAAGGCGAGCACACTTACAAACTGACAAGACAGAAACACCAGGTATATATACACAGGTACTCACGAGCAGGGCGTGAGCAACACAGGTGAAAGACATGAGACTAACGAGGCAGGCAGAGAGAGAGACAGTGAGCAGAGGGAAACAGAGAGACTGACATGCAGGCCGAGTGACAACCGGGGGAACAGACGGAACACAGGTCACTGAACACAAAACAGACCAGAGTGAACACTTAACATGAACTAAGGTACAGGACTGGGAACAAGGACAACGAACTAAAACGCAGGAACAAGAGTTAAGGCAGTGACTAAGAAACAATATAACAAGTAGAGTACCAAACCAAAGCAATATCAAAACAACACAGGACTACGAGCTAGAACACCAGACAAGACATAAACACTAAGGACAAGGAAACGAGAAGAACAGGTAAACAGAAGGACACCAGAAACAAATGGTAAAAACTCAAACTCACAGGGAAAGACTACAACTCATGACACCAGTGCACTCCTGGGCGAAATCACCTCAGTAGCCTTCAGTATTAGACTGAGCTACTACATTAAGTCAAAAACCCAGCTCATTTGGAACTTCGCTTGAACCGGACCGTGTGGGACGCAACGAGATGGCATAGGAGGACGAGCTGCCTTGTTGGCCTTTGGATTAAAGCTACACTGGCAGATGCAGTCAGCTGTTGGTGAAAGGACAAGCAGGAGCTACGACGCTAAAGCCGGCTGTCGGGCAGCGGATCACCGGAGCATCGCAAGGCGCCCAACGCAAGAGGTATTTGTAGCGCTACACTTCTTGGCCATTTAAATTGTGTGCACACATAAAGGGGGCATAA